CTTACAAATTTTTGTGCTTGGGTTTCAATTATACAATGTTCGAATACCCATCCCTCCACCAGCACCCATTTTCCACCACCACGGGTCCCAGTATCCCTCCCACCCCCCATTCTCCCACCCCACCCTGCCCATTCCCTTTTGTTCTCTCTCTCCTTTTGGGTGTTGTGGTCTGAAAAAGAGGCACCGAGTTTAGTTTTCTTCATCAGCAGTGTTTGAGAACTCTTCAGTTTCAGGGAAAAATCCCGCACTCACTCCTTTGATAAACTCCACAGTTTATTTGTAGCTGCTTGAATTTACTGACCTTTCATTATTTTATAATTAGTAGACTTGGATGTAAATGTGGTCATAAACTTTAATTAATGCTGGTGCCATTAAATATTAACTAATTTGAAAATAGCTATTATCTTTAACATAGGAATTTCAAATGTAACTTTTTGGGTCACACCCAGTTATGCACTGGGATTACTCCTGGCTCATGCACTCAGGAATTACTCCTTGGCAGTGCTCCCAGGAACCATATGGGATGCTCAGAATATAACCTGGTTCGGCCACATGCAAGGCAAATGTTCCATCTGCTGTGCTATCACTCCATCCCCTTTAATACAGATTTAATTAGTGTTTTTGTATGTGCCTAGCACTATGGAAACATCATGCACTAGCTTGTTTCAATATTCTGGAGTCATATGGGATCACAATCATGATCATCCTGTTGTTCGTCGATTGCCTCGAACAGGCACCAGTAATGTCTCCTCGTCCTAGCCCTGAGATTCTAAAAAGTGCCACATTCAAGGCTCTTTCATATGGGATAAGTCTACTATTATCTGCATTTGTGCCTGAGGTAGGCAGAGGTCTAGTCATTTGTCGAAGTTACTATGTAAAGGTAGTAGCACAGAGTCTGCATCCTGGTCTACACCTGGATTTTTTTTTTGCTTTTTGGTTCACACCCCGTGTTCCACAGGGGTTACTCCTGGCTCTGCACTCAGGAATTACTCCTGGCGGTGCTCGGGGGAACCATATGGGATGCTGGGAATCAAACCCGGGTCGGTCGTGTGCAAGGCAAATGCCCTACCAGCTGTGCTATCTCTCCAGCCCCTACACTTGGAGTTTTTACTCTAACATTGACTTCCATTGCTACTTATTTTTTCAATGTAAAGACAATACAAAATATACTCTTTTGATTGTATTTAGGACAGGGCTTGGGGCTTAGGATACAAACATCCCAAATTTGCTGGTGGAAAGGTATAATGGTGGTGGGATTCGTATTTGAATATTAAATGTAATCACATATTGTGAACTAACTTATAAAAATATTGTATGATCCAAAAATAAAAGAAAAAAAGTTGTTTGTAATACAGTTGTTTCAGGAACTCAATTTTCCAACATCAATCCCACCACCAGTATGACCTTCCTCCATCAATCCCCTTTTTCCACCCAGCATCAGGCCCTAGTAGGCATAAATAATCTTACTTGATACTGCTAGTTGCAGAAAAATTGGCAAGTGGAATAATCAGGAAATAGATCGATAAAAGTCGAGTTATGATCATTGTTTCTTCCCCCTGCCCCAACAGCTGAGGACCTCCGGAGCCAGCCACGGCCTTGTTGGAACCACTCTCCACAAGTCTGGATGGGCCTTATGCATGAAAGAACTGGCAGAGGAACCCAGACATGCAGGTCCGGGGCTGAGTCTCCAAGCCTACTTGGATTGGGACTGGGCCTTCTCCACCCAGACCCCTCTATCTTCGAGTAGGTAGGCGTCACACCCACCAGCTGCCGCCAGCGCCAGGTTGGTCCCATCAACAGCCAAGACGCAGAGACTATAAAACCCAGCTCCCGGAGGAGAACAGCACAGAGTCTCCTGCTGTCCTCACCAGGGCCCCTTGGAGGGGGAGGGTTGAGTTTCTCTCCCCCCCACCTGCCCCGAGCAGAGCCCCAACTGCTGAGGACCTCCGGAGCCAGCCACGGCCTTTCTGGTACCACTCTCCACACGTCCAGACGGCCTCATGCATGAAAGAGCTGGCAGAGGAACCCAGGCACGCGGGTCCTGGGGCTGAGGTCTCCAAGCCTACTCATATTGGGACTGGGCCTTCTCCACCCAGATCCCCCATCTTCCAGTAGGTAGGCATCACACCCACCAGCTGCCGCCAATGCCAGGTTGGTCCCATCAACGGCCAAGATGCAGAGACTATAAAACCCAGCTCCCGGACATATTATTATCTTATTTTTCCTTTGGAGAACCTGGAAGGCTACCAAAAGTATCCTGCCCGCACGGCAGTCTGGCAAACTTCCCGTGTTGTACTCAATATGCCAAATACCAGTAACAATGATGGATCTCATTCTCCTAATCCTGAAAGAGCATTGAAATGGCTCTTTTAAAATCTCAGGGCTAGGAAGAAGGAGACGTTACTGCTGCCTGCTTGAGGAAATTGACCATTCATGGTTGTGAGAACCATCTCAGTGATGCAGAGGACGGAGCGGGAGGGGAGGGAGGGCATTGGCCATGCACCATGAGCAAATGATTATCAAGATAGACAGGAGCGGGAGAGTCCTTCAAATTGATCAAATAATCTCACTTGCATAACGCTGCAAAGTTTGGAGTAACATGAAAATATGAATTCCTATAGGAACTGGAACTACTCTAATTGATAATCTGTCACAGCATCCAGATCCCGTATAGGTCTGGAGATGGCAACATCACCCCCAACCAGATGGAAGCACTTTCACTCCCAACGTCATCTGAAACCAGTGAAAATCTCACCCAGAGAGGTAGAGCACCCATGCTAATGCTCCCTATTTTAAAGTTTAAAAGCTGGGGGTGGGAGAATAGGTGGAGATGTGGGAGATCAGTCTCCCTGGGTCTTAGAATATACTGGGCTACAGACGTGCATACAGGTAGGATTCAAAAAGCTGGAAAGTACAGATGATGAACACATGAGGGCTGTAAATGTGCACCCAGGAAAAAGAGATTAAAATAGTTTAGGGTCTTTTAGATGTAGAGGACAACACAGGAAAGACAGAACAGGAAATTGTCATGTGACTCTCCTGTATGAGTGACTGGTTGTGAAATATCCCAGCCTCTGGTCTTCTCTACACCTCTTTAATGTTTATGTCCTTACTCCATGTCCTTAGTGTCTCCGCCAATTTACACAATGGCTCACATGTTGGAGCAATATTGTACTGAATAAACAATAAACAAGTGCCCCTGAGTCTACTGAGGGTTGCTCAGGAACTACGATAGCATGGACAGTGTTTGTGTGTGAATCTGTTTATCTCATTCTCTGCAACCAGCCCTGTGAGACTAGGTGGGCAAGATTCACCACAATCCATAGCCTGAGTTTGTGCTTCCAGAGTGAGTAAGCCAGTTCCTTTCCAGTTACATTCAGCCGTCCTGCCCCACCTCCCAAATGGGCCCACTCCAGTTTTGTAAGCCAGACCTCCAACTCTAATGATGGAAGTTTTGTTGAAGAATTTTTATAGATTTATATGTGTACACTATTTTTAGCTAGCTGCTTCTGTCCAGAAGTTATTCTATATACATTTGTATTTTTTCTTGTATAATTTTTCTACATCAATATTTGAAATGAGAAGTCTATACCAAACTGAACAAATGGTCTGACAACAATGGAATGGTAGTGCTTTTGGTAGATCATCCGTGGAACAGCTCAGTAATAATGAACTTTCTCTGAATAATGCTGAGGTGAAATTTTAAAAAAATTAACTCCGATCAATCACACCAGTCTAAATGCATATTATCATCTTATGAATTACAGGGCAGATCTGGGGCTCTAAACTCTCTAGGACCACCACAAAAATAAATTAGGGGAGGAGCAAAACAGCACCTTTATTTCAGTGGGCATTTAAGAAAGTAACAGCCGTTCTTTTTAAAAAAATTTTTTATTTCAATGAATCACTGTGAGGTAGTTACAGAAATACAAACTTGCATGATTACGTTTTGGGCATACAAAGTTCGAGTACCCATTCCTCCAACAGGGTCCATTCTCCACCACCAATGTTCCCCTTATCCCTCCCACCACCCCACACCTTCCCACCCCCTGCTTCTGCGGCAGGGACATTCCCTCTTACTCTCTCTGCCCTTTTCAATGTTAATGTTTGCAATACAGGTACTATGTGGTCATCGTGTTTGGTCCACGGTCTACTTTCAGCATGCATCTATCACCCCAAGTGAAGCCTCCAACCATCATGCACTCAGTGGTCCCTTCTCTATCCCATCTGCCTTTCCTCCCAACACATGAGAAATCCTTCCAAAACGTGGAGAAATCGTCTGGGCCCTTATCTCAACTACTCTTGGGTGTTTGACTCCCATTCTGTTACTTTATATTTCACAAATGAGTGCAGTCATTTTATCTATCACTCTCTTTCTGACTCATTTCACTTAGCATACTCTCCATGTTCATCCACTTGCATGCAAATTTTATGATTTCACCATTTCTAACAGCTGCATAGTATTCCATTGTGTAGATGTACCAATGTTCCTGTAACCAGTCATCTGTTCTCAGGCACTCGGGTTTTTGTCCAGATTCTGGCTATTTTAAATAGTAGTAACAGCCATTGTTATATTGCTATTTTCCATTGTAACAGCTCAACAGGTCATACATACAGTCAACAGAGAAGGAAAGGTGCAGAATACCTGTTTTTCAAAAGAAAAATTGGTTTTAGTAAAAGCAGTCTGTTTCTGCAATCTTGATTTAAATTAATGTGTGATTAAATACTTTGAGAGTTCATTCTAGACAACTTTTGTATGTTCTTTATATTCATAAAGTTTCTTTTCTGTGTGAATTCTATAAGGTTAATAAGACTTCTAAAATATTTTTTTCGACATTCTTACATTCAGAGGGGTTTCTCCTGAGTGAATTATCTCATGCTCATTGAGGTTTGTCTTTGAGGAAGTTTTCTTATATTCTTTGCATTCATAGGGTTTCACTCCTGTGTGAATTCTGTCAAATGCTGTGATGATTTTATTCTTTGAAATTTTTCCTACATTCTCAACATTCATAGGGTTTCACTACTGTGTGAATTCTCTCATGTCTAGTGAGGTTTGACTTCACAGAGAAAGTTCTTTTACATTCTTTACATTCATAGGGTTTCACTCCTGTGTGAATTCTCTCATGTGCTATGAGATGTGCCTTTGTTGAGAATTTTTTCCTACATTCTTTACATTCATATGGGCTGACTCCTGTGTGAATTCGCTCATGGTTACGGAGGCTTTTCTTCCTTGAGAAAGTTTTCATACATTGTTTACATTCAAAGGGTTTCACTCCTGTGTGAATTCTCTCATGTTCAGTGAGTTGTGACTTTGTTGGGAAACTTTTTGTACATTCTTTACATTCATGAGGTTTGACTCCTGTGTGACGTATCTCATGTGCTATGAGTTGTGACTTTCTTAAGAAATTTTTCCTACATTCTATACATTCATAGGGTTTCACTCCTGTGTGAATTTTTTCATGTTTAGTGAGGCTTGCCTTCATTGAGAAAGTTTTCCTACATTCTTTACATTCATAGGGTTTCAATCCTGTGTGAATTCTCGCATGTGCTCTGAGTTGTGACATTGTTGAGAAACCTTTCCTACATTCTTTACATTCATAGGGTTTGACTCCTGTGTGAATTCTCTCATGTTCTATGAGATATGCCTTTGTTGTAAAACTTTTCATACATTCTTTACATTCATAGGGTTTGATTCCTGTGTGAAATCTCTCATGTCTAGTGAGGTATGCCTTCATCAAGAAAGTTTTCCTACACTCTTTACATTCATAGGGTTTCAGTCCTATGTGAATTCTCTCATGTGCTTTGAGCTGGAACTTTGTTGAGAAACGTTTCGTACATTCTTTACATTCATAGGGATTCACTCCTGTGTGAATTCTCTCATGTGCTATGAGCTGGAACTTTGTTGAGAAACTTTTCGTACATTCTCTACATTCATACGGTTTGACTCCTGTGTGAATTCTCTCATGCGTAGTGAGATTTGTCTTTGTTAAGAAAGTTTTCCTACATTCTTTACATTCATAGGGTTTCACTCCTGTGTGAATTCTCTCATGTGTACTGAGGTATGTCTTTGTTGAGAAAGTTTTCTTACATTCTTTACATTCATAGCGTTTCAGTCCCGTGTGAATTCTCTCATGTGTAGTGAGGTATGCCTTCATTGCGAAAGTTTTCCTACATTCTTTACATTCATAGGGTTTCAGTCCTGTGTGAATTCTCTCGTGGGTAGTGAGGTATGCCTTTGTGGAGAAAGTTTTTCTACATTCTTTACACTCGTAGGGTTTCACACCTGTGTGAATTTTCTCATGTCTGGTTAGGCTTTTCTTCCTTGAAAAAGTTTTACTACATTCCTTACATTCAAAGGCTTCCTTCCCTGTATGAATTGTCTTATGGTGAGTGAAGTGTGACTCCTGTGACAAAGTTGTCCTATACTCTTTACAGTCATAGGATTTTTCTCCTTTGCAAAGTCTCTGGTGCTGAATGAAGCCTAGTTTTCCAGAAAAAGTTTTTTGACATTCTTGACATTCATAGGATTCCCCTCCTGTGGGAACTCTTTGATGTTCAATGAGTCTTTTTTGTTTGAATAAAGTTTTGCCATAGTCTTTACAGGCATACTTTTTCTCTAAAACATTTGTTCTTTCATATTTATTGAACTTTGAAAGCTGCCTGTCTGTTTCAAATTCATGATGTTTTCCACCTGCATGCATTTCTGGATGTTTAGTAATATTAGATATTTTAAAGAGATTTTTGTAGTCCTCAAGTTTCTGTACAGGGGACACCTCAGCATGTTCAACAGGCAGAGATATGTTCTTATTACCACGAGACTTCTCAGGCGCCAGGGTAGAATGGATTCCCTTACTCATCACTGCCGTTGACATGGAGGTATTGCTGACATTAGAAGTGTTTTTGACGTCCATCCTCTGCTTTGCCGTGTCTTTCTTCTTGGTCTTTACCCCTTGCCAGTAATATCGACTCTGATGTTTCCAATTATGTTCAATCAAGTCATCCTCTGGCTGAATATCTAAAAGTAGAGATATGTTCTTATATAAACACTATCTGAGCATATGTTGTGGATTGATAGAGTAGTTATAAAGAAGTTACTCCCAATATCAAGGCATGTTTAGAAGAGCATTCATTTTTAAACCATTGTTTTTATTTCTCAGGAATTAAAATGTTTAATAGTCTAATGAGGGAGGGGGCACTATACCCCACCAATGACAGGGGTTATTCCTGGCTCTGTACTCAGGAATTACACCAGGTGGTGCTTGGGATACTGGGAATTGAACCGAAGTCAGCCATGTGCAAGGCAAGAGCCCTAACTGCTGTTGCTCTGCCCCAAAGTACTTCATAGTCTAATGTAAAATCATGAGCTTTCCCTATTCATGTTATCTTTCTCAATCATGAGAAGATATTTGGCCATGTTATTTATGTAATCTTGGTATATTTAGCAGGGATTTTAACTTACCATTTGATTTATTTTTCTGTATTCTATCTGACAATAACTAGGAACATTTGGTTTAATTCTTTTTCAGACTAATTCCTTTTGTTTAAAAGTTGTGGGATTTTCTGGTTTGGTACAAATGGATGCACTGGAATGCAGTCATTAAAGAGATACTAAAGGGATAGGAATTTTGTGTCTGTATTTATTTGGATTTCCTCAAAATGTCTAACTAGAATCATCTTTGGTTTATTCAAGAACCAATATCTTATTTTCCATGTTAGACAAGTCACCTGTAGATGTTTCACTCTGACTTGATGACTGGTTTTTCCTTAACTTTTGTAACAATGACTTATACAATTTAAGATGAAGATTATAACTTCAAAATACACTCTGGAAAGCAGAGCCTTCACTCTCAGAAACCCTTTGTTCTATGACTCATGACACTCAAAAGCTCATAGTCTCCTGAGATGTCCCAGACAGCACAGTTCAGTGAGAAACAATTAACAATATTCTCTGCGTATGAAAATTGTCTGATGCTTTTTGACTAGACAAGTCCCTGAGCCTTCTTTCCGATAATTAACAAGGCATCCAGGTCTCCCCTAAGACACAATACTTAACAATTTGATAATTACCATCAGTAATTTACACCCCCTTGTACACAAAGTGTATTTGGACCTAAAAATTATACCTGTAGGTTAAACAATCATCTTCATATTGGATTCTACCCAGGGAACCTCCAAAAGTTCCTTCTGAATTCTTTCTTTCTTTCTTTCTTTCTTTCTTTCTTTCTTTCTTTCTTTCTTTCTTTCTTTCTTTCTTTCTTGGAGCTACTTCTGAGAACTTTTCTATTTACCTAAATAACACCTTGCATTTTTCTCTTTTTCCAGGTGAAAAACCGTCTCTGTGGATCTTACTTTACTATTTAACATACATATTCGTGTAAATCATTCCCCTTCACATAAGTTCTGTTATAATTCCTAGTGGCAGCCTCTGAACCCAACTGGACTGATTGAAATGCAAGAAGGCTCCAGGGCCTGGACAGAGGCTGATGCAGTGATGCCTGGAGAATGACATTTCCTGGGGATTCATATATATTAATGGTTGGTAAGTACAGGTGGCCGTGTTTGGAATGTGGGACACTGACACGATGGAATATAGAGAAATATTTTTTTTCTGGCTTATACCAGTCTTCCCATGTAACCATTAATTTGACTTTTCTCCTTCCACTTGGCACCTGCCCTTATGTCGCACGTACTGCACTCCACTGTTCACAGTGCCATCAGCCAGAGGCCCGTATCTATCGGCCCTCAGTCACAGACTGCATTGGAATCGGCTCTATGTACCCAGGTCACTGGATACTGCCAGACAGTATCAAAGGAAAGTAGCTAAGAGGCACCTGAGTCAGGGACCTGAAGGAAGTTGGAAATTGCTACAGTGGAGACCCTCCATGCTGTGGTAAGCGGGAATATGGGACAAACTCAGTGCAGAGCTAAGCCCTTTGTTAACAAGGTTCGATGGAATAGAGCAAGGGATATTACATTTAAGGCTCTGAAGCAGAGCAAGAAAATCAGAGACCTTGCAAAGAGTCTTCCTTAGCTGCTAGATGGCAACATAGAATTCAAATCCCAGTCTGTAGATGCGGGAGAGCTACAAATGGGCCTTGGAAGGAATAGCTTTGGGAGAAGAAATAAAGAATAAAACTGAGGTCTCTCTATGTGAGTCTGACCTAGACCAGGAGAGCCTGGAGAGGACTAAATATGTGTATGTGTATATGTGTTTTTGCTTCAGTGTGAAATTGTTAGAATAACTGATCTAGAAAATTTATGATTTGAAATAGTCGTGGTTAAATAAAAGACTGGTTCAAAGGGTAATAATTTAGTTTAAGATATAGATTTCTAAGGTTATGAAATCGGATGTAAAACTTTAATCCTACCAAAGCTTTATGATCAGAATTACCCCCAGCCATCTAAACAAGATATTGATTTATTCTTTCAAGATTCTTTTTTTCACTCTTTCAAGATTCTTGAATAGTGCAAAGATAAAAGAAAGCTATTTGTATGAACTACTTGTAAATCTGGTTAAATTTTGTGGTAGGCAATCACGAATAAATCATAAAGTAACATCTCTAGAATTATTTGATCACTTAAACTTTGGTTAAAGTGATCACTTAAATTTTAATGGCTTTTTTTTTCTTTTTGGATAACCCTTGGCAATGCACAGGGGTTACTTCTTGGCTCATGCACTCAGGAATTACTCTTGGCAGTGCTCAGGGGACCATATGGGATGCTGATGCTGGGAATCAAACCTGAGTTGGCCACTTGCAAGACAAATGTCCTACCCACTGTGCTATCGCTCCAGCCCCGGTAATTTAAAATTTTTAAGTGACTTAGAAAAAGGTATATTTAAGCAAATTGGCCGTTTCAAAGGCCAGAGCTCCATTTGTTACTCCTCCTGATACAAGCTCCCAGACTTGGGGGATTGGGGAGAAGCTTTTAAAAATTGGTCCTTGCTACAAAGAGCTGTTTCTTCTGAGAATGGAAAACGGGTTTTTACAAATGTGGTAAATGAAATTACACGCTTTAGAGTCTCTGAACAGCTAGAGTAATGCACATATAAATTACTACAGAAGTACACATATAAATTTCTTTCTCTGAATGGAAATCATGTGTATTTTTTGTTGTGGTTATTCAAAAGAAATTAGGAAAATGATTGATTTACGCAAAGCTGAAGGCAGCATGATGCCCATGGGGACACAGCAACCAGGAATTCTGTCCCAAGTTGCTAGTCCCAAAGATTGGCCCCATATAGTTACTGATTTAAAAAGTTTTTATACTAGCCCTATTCACCCTGCTGATCATAAATGCTCTGCTTTCTCTTTCCCTACCTTAACAATCATGCTCCAGTGCATTGGTACCAATGGTCTGTAATGACCCAGGGGGTGACTAATTCCCCAACCATATGCTGCGTCTTTTTATTTGATCTAGCATCCAATTTGCCAAGTCTTTCCTAAGGCCTATATATTATATTACATGTTATACATTACTGTAGCACTGTCCTCCTGTTGTTCATCGATTTGCTTGAGCAGGTGCAGTAACATCTCCACTGTGAGACTTGTTACTGTGTTTGATGATTCGAATATGTCACAGGTAGCTTGCCAGGTTATACATTGCATGGATGATATAATATTGGCTTCCTGATCTCCAGAAACCTTATAAAGAGGTTGTGACTTGTTTTACTGCAGCCTGATTACAAGTGGCTTTAGAAAAAGTTCAGATTTTATCTCTTTATAAAATTTTAGAATAGATATTGGATTGCAGTGCTGTTAGGATACTAAACCAAAAGTTTAGTGTCCTAATGGATAAGCTGCTTCTTTAAATGATTTTCAAAAGCTGATGGGAGATATAAATTGGGCCTTCCTGCCTTAGGAATTCCTAACAATTCTTTACAAAATCTCTTTAACTTACAGGAGGGAGACCAGGCTCCCAGGAGTCCTCAATCTCTCAGCCCAAGGCATCTGAAGAGTTAAGAGTTCTTTATAGACCAGCTCCAAAAGTCTTGGAACAGCTTGCAAACAGACAGTTGCAAACACACACACACACACACACACACACAACCACACACATAATTTTCCCACAATGCCACTCTGGCATAACTTTCTGGCCAGTGAAAGTGGATTTATCTCCATAATAAGCAACCCCTCCTTTCAGTCCTCGATTTAGAACTTGCTGCCTCTCTAATTATTAAAGGGGGGTTGGGGGCGAGGACTTGGCTTGAAGCTACCAAAGTAAACCTTCCTCAACACCAACACTCAACTGGGGATGGTGAAAGTACTACAGCCAAACGGGAAGCAATTTCTAAATCAACCCATACCCATATTATGGCTGAAAATATTTTTGTGACTAGGTTTGCAGTTCTATCCTACAGCCCAGATATAAAAATATAAGCTTGCCTTAAGTGTGTGCGTGTCCGTGTGTGTGTTTGTGTGTGTGTCTGTGTGTGTGTGTGTGTGTGTGTGTGTGTGTGTGTGTAGGAGGGCATGGGGGGGCGGTGTGAGGAAGTTCAATTAGGATCCAGAAGGGAACACTATGACAATAGTTGTAAATGACCACTCAGGACAAGCACTGAGTGCTTAAAGGTGGGAAGGGGAAGAGGAGGGGGAGAGGGGGAGAAACTGTCCACCATACTGGCAGGCTGGAGAGTGGAAACTGGAAACAGAGATGGTGGGGAAATGTCGACAGATGAAAGGATGTATGACACAGTGTACCGATATTCCTCACCCACCTTTATTACAGGTTGTTGACTGGACCATGGCAGGACTCAAATCTGGATCGATGACCCAACTCATCTATATTCAATGGGATTGTAAATCACCTCAGTTTCCTGATGAAGGTACCTCTTTTAACTTCACGCTGGGATATTCTCTTGGTCCTATCTGCATAGGTCCACTGCCTTGTCTGAGCCTCTTTGATCAAGGATGGCTTTACGTTCCTCTCCCAATCTGGACTCCCTCTTTCTTCCAACACAATGTCTTTGCTTTGCTTAAAATGTGTTCCACTGACAATTCTTGTTCTAGTGTTACAGCGTTCCTGTTTGTGATAACATCTCCACTAAGCATTGGATACCCACCTCTTCCCATTGAAAGGAATGTTATTTCCCTCCTAGGAAAGCTTTTGCCTGGATCTGATTTTGGTACATGGGAGAGTTGTACTCGGTTGCTCTGATGATACTTTCACTCTGTCATTCTATTCCAGATCCTTGATGAAATTTCACCTCTCTGAGTCATTTGTTTTTAGTAGGCAGATGGAATTATGGAGTGGCATGATGGAAGATGGAGGATCCACCACAGCTCAGGGCTGTTAAAAATAAAACCCTACACACTGAGTACAGGGATTTATGGAAGATAGATGCAGCTCTGCACCCTGGGTACTTTTGGCTAGGAAATTTTTCTGGAAACAAATATGGTCCATCCCTCTAGGAAATTTATCTTAATGAAAAATTTTCAATGAGCGCTCCTATGAAAATTTCCTGTTTTTTTTTTTTGCTCGTGAAACTACTACTTCTAATGAGAAATTGAATATCATTAAATGATTGTGTCTTATATACATATAGACCTTATATATGTACATACAGAGCATACATATATATATATACATATATGCATACATTCCTCTCTGTATTCTGTTTTCAGTGCTCATACCATTGTACTGTTACTAGCCCAATCCCATGTGGGCAGGCTGCCTGTGAAACGGAAACGAATGCCAATGTTCCCCTAAGGAGGACTCCTTGTAGCTGTCTTCTACAAACTTTGAGATGCCCTTGAATATTTATGGATTTCTGATTACTGCCATTATTGGAATTATTCCTAGAACAACCACAGCAGCAGTTTCTGGAACTGCCCTGCAGACATCCATCCAGATGGATGATTTTGCTGAGTTCTTGCAGAATGATTCCCACCACCTTTGGACCCTCCAATTTGCCATCAACCAAGATATAGTACAGCGGCTTGACACCCTGAAAGTGTTACTTTAGGTACAGGGAGGGATTAATGTATTAGAATAAAGCCAGCCTTTCCTGTGACTAGAATAGCTTCGTTATATATGTCACACGAGTAATACAATGCATCACTCGTGTTGCAGAAAGCACTGGAGTGTTACTGGTAATAGTATTTGTGTTATTATCCTTAGGATTCTGCCTCTTGCAACCACGTATAGAACACGATAGCACAGGACTCCCACTTGAAAACCTCTATAGGCCTGCTTCAGCCACAAAACAAAAAAGGGGAGATGGAGTTCCTGTTGGCAAAGTTCTGAAACCAACTGGACTGGCTGATCTGTGGGAATGTTCCCAGGACCCGAACTAAGCTAATGGAGTGGCACCTATGAAATGACATTGTCTGGAGATTAGTATATATTAATGCTTGGAAATTCCTGGTATCCAGGTTTGGAATGTGGGACATTCACAACGAATGAATCTAGACAAATAACTGATGGACAAGAGTGGAATATGGAATGTTGACCCCTATGGTATCCAAATGAATGACTTCATTTCCGCTAATACTAATCCTCCCCACACAAACATTAATTTAACCTTTCACCTCCCACTTACCACCTGCCCTTGTCCCGCCTATATTGCATTCCATCTGCTCCTATATAATCACTGTTCGCCCTGAACAAAATTGTCTTCAGGGTTATCAGTCTGTAGTCTATGTCTATTGACCATCAGTTACAGACTGCACTGCAACCAACATTGTCTACACAGGTCATCGGATACTGTCAGACAATATCCACCAAAGGATATTTATTTATCTTGCTGTTAAACACACATCATCAAAGTTTTCTCCTGAAAAACATCAATGAGTTTTTAAAAAGAATAAATCCCAAAAGAACATTCAATGAGAATGTCCAAAGTACAGTAACTGAGACTCTCTATAGACAGTAAGTCCATAAAAACATTTCACAGAACCATAGATTCTGATTTCATTTGAAATTAACTACTGACTTGGAAAAAAGGACTTATAACTACTAGTAAGTTTTGGAGACTAATAACATAGGAAAACTAACTGCTATAGGGTTTGAACGGGGTGTGTGTGTGGGGGGAATTCATGGCAAACTGCTCAATACAACAAACACTGTCGTTTCCCCTTTTTCTAGCTTCCCTGCCCAATATGGACTGACTGACCTGAGAGGCTCTGCACTGGAGGACTGACCATCCATGGCTCTGCTCTTTCCTCCAACCTGATGATCAGTTCAGGTTTGATGACTGAATGTCCTGTTGAAGAAAAATTAAGGAGGAATGTTGTGAAACTACATAATGTTCATATTGTCAAGCTAATTAAAGTCTTTGAAGAATTATATTGGTAAAATCTGTAAGGGTTGTACAATAATGAGTGAACAATAGATGAAAAACAATATATGAAAAAGTATCTGAATTTGCTTCTTTGGTCTGTGTCTACCTGAGATGTGTACTTTCTAACTTGAGCTTATGGTTCCCCATCCTGGGGAATTGACGCACACATCCATACTTGGATATGCACTTGTGCTTTTATCCACTCTGGAGAAGTCTGTGTTCTCTCTTGAGCACTTATCTCTTGTTGGAGTTCTTGCTGCCACAGCTCCCAAATCATTTTATCTCTGACCCTCTGGCAATGTTCCAGATCCCAGCTTATGGGGACAGACTGACACCAGGGATCTGGCATTCCCTGGAGATTAATACAGATTGATGATGCCACAATTACTGATGTCTGGGGCTTGTAATGTGGGACACTGACACCTATATGATGTATAAGACACACAGCTTTGTCTCAGGTTTAGGTCACAGAGACTCTGTACCATTCTTTCCCACTTACCCACAAATTGACCTCTCTTATCCCCTTATCACCTGCCCTCTTGTCCAACAAGTTCTGCACATACTGCATTCCTTCTGCTCAATAAGATCACTGGTCATCCTGAATAAACTCTGACCATGGAAGGCTACATTCTCTTTCTCTCTCCTCTCCCTTTGGTTTCCAAATAACTTGCTTCACTTCCAAGAAAAGAAAAATAAAGTTTTCAATGTCAAGTATATGTACTATTTTGGAAATGCATGCAAAACAACCATGAGATAACAACTCACACCAGTGAGACTGGCATGGATTTTTTTTTTAAAGTCCTGATACAACTCTGATAATGGAGTAGATCATGCAAAAATGGAACCAACATTCACTGCTGGTGTGAATGTCATCTGGTCGGTCTCTATGGAAAACAGTACAGTGATTCCTCAAACAAGTAATAATAGAACTCCCCCTCTGAACCAGTGATGCCACTACTTGGTATACACTCACACACAAAAAAAAACACAAAAAATTACTTTGAAAAAATTACTTATGCACAACTCTTAATTGCATAAGCCAAAGGAAAAGACCAAAAAAAAAGCCACTGTATGATCTCACTCTGCAATACAGAGATAAAACAACAGAATCATCTGTGCTGAACAATTACAACCCTTTGGCCTTAGATTATACAATTTATTAAGAAAGAGTGGGATCTGGGGATTGGGAATGTACATCAGACCAGAGGTGACAGAATACAGCTTGTGATCTCTCTCATCTCTGGGACCTAAAGATACACAGCAAGCAGGAACAAAGGTCCAAAGGCAACAACTAGGAGAACTGATCCACATCTGAGATGGGGGGGGGGGGTCCCTGTTTGAGAGGGAGAGGTGTTGGGGTCCTCGGGAGAGGGAGGTGAGTACACCTGTGATGGGTATGGTGTTGGAATTGTGTGCATGAGAAACCATTATTATTAGTATTGTAAACCAAAGTATCTCAATGATTAAAACACTTTTTTAAAGGACAGGTTACTGTGTAAGCCTGACTAAATTTAAATATTTTGAGAAAGAGGATGTGGAATGTATGGGAGTGGGATATAAAGATTTATGAGGTGGTCGGGCTTACTTCAACAGGAACTTTGTGTGCATCATTAGGTTACAAGATAATACGTACTTTGATGTGTTTTGATCTTCTGTACTTTGATATATGCTAGATGTTTTGATCATTAACCCAAAAAAAGGAGGTTGCAGTTATAGATCAGTGCCAAATGGCCTGAGCGAGCTTCGGCCCTCTGTGCTTAAACATTCCACATGCATTGCTTATCTCTGAGCCCCTGACTACTCAATCGATCGAACTAACATCTCGTGCCCAAACATGGGGCTCAACGGTTACGTTTCAGGGAAATGGGTGGAACTGGGAAGGTTTGGACTGCATGGGTTCGCAGAATTTTCCAACAGCCAGAGTCAGAGGAAATGGGGAACTGTCCTTCTACTGTAGATAAACATGTTACCATCTTGAACTCATTTGCTCCAGCTGCTGCATGCCTTTGAAAGAACAGGTTGTTAGGTGTCTGTCAGAATGCATTATAAAGCATTATTACTGGTGTATGCCTGAATCTAAGAATCAGTTTAACTTGACACTGTGGAAGCAGGGAGGGAAGGCTTTGCACCCTGCATACAAACAGATTTTATAACAGCGGAAGTTGGGGAGCCTTTGGCATAATCGCTACCGCTCTCCAACCATTTCAGTCTGATTCTGAAATGTCCCCCAAAGAGGGTGGTGAGTGAGCTGACACCACCGCCTCAAAATGCCCGGCTACTGCCGTCCCTTGTGTTGTCACAGATGAGGAGGAATGATCAGATGAAAACCAGAAACAATAGCTTTTCCAGTGAGACCGAGGCAGACACGTTGCAGGGCCGCTGCTCAGGGAGCATGGGAGACGCCCGCACTGCCCCTGGGACACCCCGGAACGGGACAGTTTGGTAAGACAAGTAATGATGCCACTGATAGGAATAAGGGGGTGTGGAGCCGACCCTGAAGGGCAATATTGTTGGCTAACTAACCAACGGCCTCCTTCTGTGTCTGAAAACATGTTTGCATTGTGAAATTGTTAAAGTGTCTGGTGTAAAAATCTTTGATTTGAGATCATTAATAACTTTTAAAATTAAGACAAAGGACTGGGGGCTGGAGAGATAGCACAGCAGGTAGGCCATTTGCCTTGCAAGTGGCTGACCTGGGTTCAATTCCTAGCATCCCATATGATCCCCTGAGCACCGCCAGGAGTAACTCCTGAGTGCAGAGCCAGGAGTAAACCCCTGTGCATCACCAGGTGTGACCCAAAAAGAAAAAAAAAAGAAAGAAAAAAAAAGACAAAAAACTGTAAGTCTAAAACCCACAAGGATGGTCCCCTCTGAAATTCTAACTCTCTACCTCAGAATGAGGAAAGTAAAAAATGGTGACATCTGACCACCTTAGGTTTACAACATCTTTGACATAATTACTCTTCCTGGCTTTATATTATCAAAAGCGCTTTCTTGACCCATTTTTAACAAGCAGGAAACAGACGTGGGAAGCAGGAGGACAAGGTTCCCAATTGGCTTGGGACTGCCCCCTCCTTTCTCAGTCAGTCAGTTTTCTCCCTGACATTCTTGAAGGGTCAGATCGATTGATCAACTATAAATATGTGCACATATGCATGTGGTGTTTGTAGTCAGTCTGTTGTCTCTGTCTGTCTGTGTGGAACACTTGAGTGTTAGAGTCAGGTTGAAATCAGAAGTAGAAATCCTTAGACCTGGACAAGCAGCATCTTCACCAGAGGTCTAAGTGATATGCAACCCAGATATTTAAAAGGTTTAGGTGGTTTTAGAAACTGTTAACCCCAGTTTAAACAAAGACTTGTCATCAGAATGTTAAGCCTACACAGAAATTGAAATTATCAATCTAAAATCTCTTACTGAAAAAACATTAATGTTTATTATCACGGTCCATGGTCCTCCCTTTGTTCATTGATTTGCTCGAGCGGGCCCAGTAACGTCTCCATCATGAGACTTGTTGTTACTGTGTTTGGCATATCGAATATGTCACAGGTAGCTTGCCAGGCTCTGCCGTGCGGGCGAGATACTCTCAGTAGCTTGCCGGGCTCTCCGAGAGGGGCCCTCCCGTTGTTCATCGATTTGCTCGAGTGGACCCAGTAACGTCTCCATCATGAGACTTGTTGTTACTGTGTTTGGCATATCGAATACGTCACGGGGAGCTTGCCAGGCTCTGCCGTGCGGGCGAGATACTCTCGGTAGCTTTCCGGGCTCTCCGAGAGGGGCGGAGGAATCGATCTCGGGTAGGCCATGTTGGCTGCGTTCAAGGCAAACGCCCTACCACTGTGCTATCGCTCCAGCCCAATGTTTATTAGCAGTTGAAAAAATTTTTTCTTAGCTTCAGAATCTGTACCATCCAAAAAGGAGCTGCAGAATTAGAGACTGAAACTAAAGTGAAATAAAAGCTCAGATTATGCAAGGTTTTATCCTACAAGCCTCAACCAAATTTAATGAAAAATCAGTCTGCTTTCCAGAGTTATAAAATTGGCTACAAAACTTTTATCCCATCAGAGTTTAAAGATATCAGGCTTTTTTTTTTTTGCTGAAATTTTAGACCAGATCAGGTCTTCTTGCTTAAGGGGAAAAAAATAAGTCACTTTAACATCTGCACTTGTTTGTTCATTGCAGCACTCTTCACAATAGCCAGAATCTGGAAAAAATCTGAGTGCGCGAGGACAGATGACTGGTTAAAGAAACTTTGGTACATCTACACAATGGAGTACTATGTAGCTGTTAGAAAAGATGAAGTCATGAAATTTACATACAAGTGGTACTACATGGAAAGTATCATGTTAAGCAAAATGAGTCAGAAAGAGAGGGATAGACATAGAAAGATTGCATTCATCTGGGGAACATAAAGTAACAAAATAGGAGACTAACACCCAAGAGTGGCCGAGATTAGTATCAGAAGTTTTGCTCCATGGCTTGGAGGCCAGCCACACATTCTAGGTGTAAAGGGAGCTCAGATAGAGAAAGGAGCACCAAATAAAGGGTGTTGGGAGGATCCTCCCAGGATGGGAGAAGCGTACTGAGAGTAGACTATAGACCAAACATGATTGCCACTCAATGCCTCTTTTTCAAACCACAGCACCCAAAAGGAGAGAGAGAACAAAAGGGAATGCCCTGCCACAGAGGCAGGGTGGGATGGGGGGAATGGGGGGTGGGAGGGATACTGGGATCCTTGGTGGTGGGAAATGGGCACTGGTGGAGGGATGGGTGTTTGATCATTGTATAATTGAAACCCAAGCACAAAAATTTGTAAATCTACAACTGTACCTCATGGTGTTTCACTAATAAAAATTAAAAAATAAAATGAGTCACTTTGGAAAATCCAAGCAGCTGAAAACTGCTCCTTTAGTTTTTGTGACCTT